AACTTCTATTAGCAACTACTTCTACATGGTATGACGACACTGACAATCTTCACTCGATGACTAATACATGTATCAACGAAAAATTCATTTCAACAATTCCTACTTCTAAATGTTTTACAGAAAAATACCTAAATGTTTAATAATTGCATTATTTATAAGGCACATTAACTTTCAACTTTGAGACATTTGAAATGGACAGAAGTTAGAATCGTATTTTACATTTCTCAAGTAGAAACTCACACCCTGTAAAGATTTACCTCAACAAAGTTGAACCAAAATAGTGCAGTACAACGTGGATTAAGATTATAATGGCAAAGGCAGCAGTGAAAATGAATGTATGTGCACACAGAAAACATACATCATTTGAACAGCAATGTAAAGTAAAAATATGACTTCAAATTAAAGGTACAAATGTGAAATAACTACATCAAATCTTGAATTAAGAAAACCAACCATGCAAAACAGCAGTATAAGCGAATCTTGTAATACTTTCAATTTGAATTACCTTTGAAAAATCCCCACTTTTAAAACAAATGAGTCAATATTCTTGTGACTAAAATATAACATAAACTTCGTGTAGCATCTGTAAAACAAGGGAATCCATGACAGCATACCAAGGTTTCTAGCATACCGCTGCAGGTCAGTTTATTTTCATGTGGTTGGTTTAGCTTATGAAAAGTATGGAAACACCTAGCCCACAAACACTAAGGCAAAAGTCAATTGGGTGATTTCTTTCATTTAAATAAGTAGCACAATCGTGGAAAGAAAGAAATCAACATTTTTAAGCTGTTTATGACACTCTCTTAATGTCTAACAAATACTTAAAATTAATGCTGATGCACATTATTGAAATACAGACATGAATTTTCTTTTACTTCTCTTGCTGGAAAATTAAAACAAATAAATGCCCTTCCAAAACTTCTACAAAACCTATCAAAACCAAAATGGAACAAAAATAAATGCTTTGAGAAATCCTGCAGACTTGCCGGTTGAACCAGGAAGTTTTACACTGCCGCTGTTGTAAATAAAAGAAAAATATACGTTGGATACTGTACATGGCAGTTCTACATGCAAAACCAACACAAAATAGACCTATGAATTTGTTATAATATTTAAAAAACAAAAATGTCTCCAAGAGGACTGCTTACTTACAACCCCTCAGCATCCATATACATAACACACTACACTACTCAATTTCATTTTTTCAAAAATAATCCCCATTTAGAAAAAAAGGAGTAGAAAGTATTTTTTAAAATTTCTTGAATGGGAACCATCTTTGGTGGTAAGGTGACCACTCAAGAACTCATTCTAGTTGCAATATTGAAAATGTACCGGGACATTTCTTTAATGCTTGATTATGGCAAAGACCAACTCCAGGTGTATTTTGTCACCTTTTGCTATCAAGGTGATTCAATAAAGTGGACACAATAACAGACAAGTTTAACCCTAGCAGTACCAGGCATTGTTTGGCTTACAGTACTCAGTACTAAAAAAAAATACTACGTAACACTCTGAGCCTGAAGGACCTAGCGCTACAAATTACTATTTCTGGCTAGGTTTTTTCCATTGTTACTCGAAACCATGCATTCATAGTGCCACAGCACTGTATGGTACATTGTCTTCTCGACTGTATTTTATGGCTTCAGAGAATAATAATTTCATGTCCTTTTACAAGCGACAGGGCCGAGTGCTACATCTTACTACTAAGTAGTACTTTGTAGCATTCAGGACTGTTGAGGTTAATAAAAAATAAACAAATATAGATGATAATGGCAATTCTTGAAATTTTTTAAATGAGTTGTACTTAGTAATTAATACCAATGCCAGAGAGTTCACCCAGGTTGCACTTAATTTTTGGATAGAGAGCAGTAACAACTATTCTTTGGAAGCTGTTTTGTAGCACGCACTGTGCATGTAACTTTTGCATTCAGCCAAGTGATTGCAGGATGAACAAGCTCCTTTTGCTCACTGAAAAATGATAGACAAAACCCTTTTCACGGCAACTAAATCTGATCATATAATGTAAGAATTAGAGATCTCTTTTCACTAGCAGCATTAAGAATATTTGACTTCCTAGTATACCTATTTACATTGTTATGCATAAAGGTGTTAGCACATATCTCTCCCAAACGTGAAACATCATTTCATTTGATATGTGTCAGAACCCTGTGGTAGACTACTGTACATGTATGCCCTGGTGGACTACCGTACGCCCTGCTGGACTACCGTTCGCCCTGGTGGACTACCGTACGCCCTGGTGGACTACCGTACGCCCTGGTGGACTACCGTACGCCCTGCTGGACTACCGTTCGCCCTGGTGGACTACCGTACGCCCTGCTGGACTACCGTATGCTCTGGTGACTACCGTACGCCCTGCTGGACNNATGCTCTGGTGACTACCGTACGCCCTGCTGGACTACCGTACGCCCTGGTGGACTACCGTACGCCCTGCTGGACTACCGTACACCCTGCTGGACTACCGTACGCTCTGGTGACTACCGTACGCCCTGCTGGACTACCGTACGCCCTGCTGGACTACCGTACGCCCTGCTGGACTACCGTTCGCCCTGGTGGACTACCGTACGCCCTGGTGGACTACCGTACGCTCTAGTGGACTACCGTATGCTCTGGTGACTACCGTACGCCCTGCTGGACTACCGTACGCCCTGCTGGACTACCGTACGCCCTGGTGGACTACCGTACGCTCTAGTGGACTACCGTATGCTCTGGTGACTACCGTATGCTCTGGTGTAAGTCCTATGTGGGAATTCTGGAGCTCTGTCTGCAGTCAAATTACTCAAATTTTAACTGAACATTACATCATCAAAATTGTCTAAGTTGGGATATGAGCTCCGTGCACAAGTACCTCTCACTGTTGACAATAGAAGAGGCTCAACCAATGGGCCAATGCCACTCACTGCAATCCACCCAAGCAAAGACCCTGGATGTCATGCATTCAGCACCCAAGCAAAGACCCTGGATGTCATGCATTCAGCACCCAAGCAAAGACCCTGACTGTCATGCATTCAGCACCCAAGCAAAGACCCTGGATGTCATGCATTCAGCACCCAAGCAAAGACCCTGGATGTCATGCATTCAGCACCCAAGCAAAGACCCTGGATGTCATGCATTCAGCACCCAAGCAAAGACCCTGGATGTCATGCATTCAGCACCCAAGCAAAGACCCTGGATGTCATGCATTCAGCACCCAAGCAAAGACCCTGGATGTCATGCATTCAGCACCCAAGCAAAGACCCTGGATGTCATGCATTCAGCACCCAAGCAAACACCCAAGAGTTGGCCTGCTATCAGTTAAAACAAATTCTTGTACGCAATTCATGTCATGAATGTACAGAGTGGGTCTACTCCAAGAGGGCGATGATGCAGGGTAACAGCATGGGATAGAGCGCCCTCTCTTGTTCTAGTTGCACCAAACTAATACATGTACATGTATAGTGACGCCATAATACGCTAACTTGACAGGAAATCTGCATTGAAGCCAGCCTGGTAGTGGGTCCATTACTGTCGCCAACAATATCAATACTGTATTATTTTAGGATCATCTCTATACCTAGTACATCTGGAATGTTTGACTAAAGGTAGCTACAACTGCGTAGATTTTTTTCCAAAATAATACGGTACTTAGAGTCAGTTCAAGTGCAACATTAGAAAGGCTAAGCATGCCAAGGATTATGCTAACACATACATTTTGCAATCTTTAAATTGTTAATGGTTACTTCTTTGCTTCATTTTTTGTAGATGTACCATCACTGTAACCAATGAAAGTAATAATTACCAGAGGTGAAACTGTGATCAGAGACTTCGAATATGCAGCTAATATTGCTTTGGAGCACAAAAGGAAAATGGACGAAAATGGACATCATGCACGATTAAGTGAATGTCAAAAACAGAAAGAGAAACTCGACAATATAGTATGCATTTGGCAATGACAATTAGCGGGTGAAATATATCTACATGTACCATATTCACCAGCTCATATCTGATCAACAGAGGGCGCCTGCAAACTGATGTATACGCTTTGCAAGTGCAACCAGTCTGTGCTACAGACTTGGTTATGGCAATGTCAGTATAATGGGTCAATATCACACACCTGCTATGAAGACAGATTTCCTCTAGAGTGAAGAATTCCTTACATAAGAATGATAGGTTATCAGCTAAAATGCTATGTAATAAGTCTTCCTTTTCACAGGTCCCAAGCTGATTTGTGCCAAGTTATATTCTTAGCTCAGCAGCTTTATGGAATTGGGCACTAGTAAATATATGTATCGGTAATAGTGTATGCAGGTTGTGACTGGCATCCTAATTAACTCAATATACTTGATGTTGAACACTTGACATGGAGCCATCTTTCCTGGAGAAGTACAGGCATTTTGTGACCATAGATAACATGTGTATTTTGCTATCCTTGGTGCGGCATTAGATAGTGAACAATATCCAGCCGTAATTTATAATGACTGCATAGAATAATTCCGATAGAGTTAATCAACCATGGCAAAACATGGCCACCAAATTACTAGAAACAAGTATTTTAGCAGCTTCTTTCGAGGCTGCATGCATTTTTATCATACAAAAATGTGTAAAAATACAAGGCAACTCTGAAAAATGTCCCCTACATCATTCTGCCTTTCCCCTTGTGAGTACCTCTTCATACAACTGAAGTTTCATGATGTCAGTGACGAATGCCTTCAAAACCTGGACCATCCTGGCACGGTATTCTCCATCTTGGTTGACCAGCCGATTCATGGAGGCACTGTTGTCTATGTTATAATCACCGAGTACCAACTGAAAGTGTTCATGGAGCTGCTCTCGTTGCTCCTTACTCAATTCAGTCAGGAGGTCGGTTACCAGCCTACAGGTACCTCTGTACTTCCATCTTGCCATCATGCCTCCTAATGTTCCACCTAGGAAACAAAACATAAAGTATCCTCACTCCAAAATGTTACAAGAATTCAACATGATAGGATTACTTTAAATTCAACAAGAACCGAGTTTTAAGCTTTATATCAACCAGCATTTCCAAACATCAGAAGTTCCAAAATTTTACCCCCCCATTCTATTTTTAATAACAAAGTGCCCCAAACTGCCTGACATGACCCAAAGGATCAGTGGTAAACACACACAACGCATTTATTGATCAGAAAATGGGTTCCCAACTACACGTACATGTAAAGTATCACGCTGTGTATACACAATGGATTTCAGGTTCTCCATGTCCTCAATTTACATACAAATCTTCCAAACTAATTTATGGCTGAGCACTTTCAAGGAATTTAGTCCAGTCATTCTAGGGGCTGATTTCTATGAGCATCACACTTCCGCCAATGTTCAATGTTTGAAGGTCATTAGAGCATGACTATAAAGAAGGCAAGTGGCAATGACTATACAGAACTCTGAAATGAAAATGTCCTAGTCTAACAGGGTTTTAGAGTTGACAAACAATCTTATTTATGTTGGTTTCACACTAAAAACTCTGCACAAACACCTGTTTTTAATAAATAATACAAACTTTTTAATACACTCCGCTCATCACCATCAAATCATCACCAAACATTCATACACATGACTTTAAATATTGAATATATTAAATTTGCTGACCTAGACTTAAGAAAATACAATTTCTGCTTCTCCAAATTTTCTTTCAAAATGAAACATGTATTCTGCACCACTGCATCCTCTCTGAGTAACATGATTACAGTTAAGTTAAAAAAAAACATGTTTAGCATCCAGACTGTTGCAAAAAAAGAAGGATGTAAGCTGTTTGTTTTCAAGATGGCAACCATTCTCTTTTAAATTTTCTTTTGTCAAAATTTGTGAACTATTATGTTCCATTGATAATAACTTTCAAAGTTTTTTTACACAAATACTTCAAATAAACTACTCAAATCTTCTTACAAACAAACTTGGAACAGAATTTAGTTGCCAAGCCTAAGTTTGTTTTTTATGTAACCATTTTTGAAACAAGAATGAGAAAAATAATCAAGTGGAGTAGAGAACTATAAAAAAATAATGATTGAAATAAAATATTGATGGTACATGTACACATGTATGTAATTCCGTTGGAATAGCACTCGAAGGAATGCTTAATGCTAATAATGAAACTAGGATAACAAGGATTGCTAAAGACTGTCCATGTCTCTGGGGCGGCACCGCGGACATGCATGTATATCGGGCACATGAGAAGCTACATGTACATGTAACCTAGAGCAGATGGCCATGTTGACTGGCTGCAGCATATGCATTCCACCTGTTGTCATTCAGAAAATTACAGTGCAGTTTCAAACTACCAATAGGCTCCAAAATGCACCTGACACTCAAGATCTCAACCTAAGACTAGATTAAATACAAAGTTCCAGACAGCATACACTGTACCTGTATGCTTGTCTACTTGAGTCAGGTTACATCTCAATTCATTTTAATGTTAGTGATATTGCCTTGACTTTTCAGAATAACAATACATGCATATTTTACTAATTAAACATTTTATACGTGTTGATGCACAATTCCAATCCACAGTTGTGAAAATTATTTTAATGATATGTAAATTAATTTGTGGAAAATTAGTAAAGTTAGCAAGTTGCCATGCAACATACACAAGACATACATAAGGGAAATACACTGGACAGCAACAGAAACTCGCCACTTCTGTCAAAGGCCACAGATAAAAATTCAAACCATAGAAATAAACAATTTTTGTACACAGGTATGCTTCAATACCCCTTACTAATCACATGCCCAAAAGCAAGTGATTATCTTTAAAACAAAGAAGAAATTGACATGCACAGCAACTTGGTTACAGAATCAAAAGTCACACACAAAAGCACTCTCCACCAAACAAAAATGACCCATGAATGGACAACATTTTAAACAACCAATGACAAGGTGGACACCTGTTTGGTCAAAATGATGTGCATGAGTGGTTTCTGTATGGGGATGCCATCCTTACTGACTATGCATACACATTACTGAAAAGTAATGATTGTGACTTCTTTATTTTGTCCTGTGACATTGATTTCTGCGTAAAACTTAAGGCTCATTCTGTTACATTCTGTGACTTTTGATTCAGTAACCAAGTTGCTGTGCATGTCAATTTCTTCTTTGTTATAAAGATAATCACTTGCTTTTGGGCATGTGATTTAGTAAGGGGTATTGCAGCATACCTGTGCACCTGAATGATGACAACACCAAGGAGACGACTGTGGATTTCCGAAGGAAACACAGGAATGATAAACAGCTGGTTTGTATCAATGGAAAGGTTGTAGAACAGGTCAAACGTTTTAAATTACTAGGGACACACATCACCAGGGACCTTACATGGAATGTAACCTGTCAGGAAATCAGGAAGAAAGCCCGTCAATGCTTATTTTTCTTATGAAAACTGAAATTATTTGGAGTCCCTCAGTGTATTTTAGTTAAGTTTTATTGGTGTATCATTGAGAGCATTCTTTGCTCATCAATCATTGTTTGGTTCGGGCAAGTTTCTGCTCATGACCTATACAAATTAAATTCTATTGTACATTCAACAGAGAAGATTATATGTACCCACTTGCCATCACTTGAATCCATTTACAACGATGAGTTTCATCCTGCGTCTGCTTTATATTTCACATTCCTGCCATCTAATCCTTGTCTTAAAATTGTTTACAGAAGTAAACGTTTTACAAAAAGCTTTTATCCATCAGTAGTCCGTGTACATGAATATAATGGGTCCCTGTGACTGTTTTAACCGTGTAGGGCCCTACTTTTTTTTTTCTACTTTAGGTTTATACTTGTATTTTAGTAATACCAACATTACCCTTGTATTTTTCGTATGTTTTATAGAGGACTCAAGGAACAAGTTAATTACCGACGTTAACTGTTTTTTAACTGTCTTTCATTGGTTGAATAAACTTATCTAATCTACAAAAATTATTTATTTCTATGGAGTGAATTTTTATGTGTGGCCTTTGACAGAAGTGGCAAGTTTCTTTTGCTGTCCAGTGTAATTCCAATACATACAACCACTCTCATGGAATTCCCAAGTACATGCATCAAGCCTTTTGGCATGAGGCAATGTTTCCAAGGCCAATATATGAAAAGATGTTGCAAAGTGCGGTAGAGTTAGTTTGACTGAACATGTAATCACAGGCTCTGCCCTTACACTGATGTACCAGTATTTTCGTAACACTATATTCTCAGTGCTTGTCTGAGAGCTTGTGAGAAACATTCACAAGCTTACTCAGGTGGGACTTTGGTGGGCCTTTAGTAAGCAAGAGGTCATGGGTTTGAGTTCCTCCCAAGTACTGCGCACTGAGTGCAAGTACGAGCACTGAGTATACAGTGTTATTACTGTGTGTCGGGTCAATTTAACAATTAAAACTAACATCTCCCCGATGCAAAGTACATCTTGAAATACTGTAGTAAATGTAATTTACAGTTTTACTGAAACTCTGCAAACCGCAAACCTTTTTACCATCAACATAGAATGTTGTCTTTCATCTCATGGGATGTTGATTCACTTTATTCCGACACTTTCTGCATACATGTACAGGTAACCATTGTGTAACATAATGTCTAGGCAGAGGCAAGTGGACGGCACTTACGTGTACATGCAAATACACATATGTTTTTGGTGGCCAATGGCTGTGCGCCACTGCCATGAGTGTATGCCATTAGTCACTGCCACTAGCCAATGGCTACAGCCACCTCCCATGGATGCATGTTTATGTTAGCCACAGCCACTGGCTATAAAGCCACTTCCCATGGATCAAAGGGAGTGGGCACCAGTGAAAGCACATAATGCACTTAAAATGCTGGTTACCGGTACTTTGAACATCATCATTGCACACCAAGTACATGCTTCAAATTACTGAAGTCCTGATGTGCATGTTTACGTACATGTACAGTAGGCAAGCACAGTCCAGTGTTCAAGGCTCTGAGAAGCTCTGCAACTATTTAAGTACACTATATGCCTAACTGCACTTCCACAAAATGATCAAGCTTCTCTCAGTTTCCGTCAGCAATTTCCATATTCATGACAGTTCCAAAGAAACCCCTCAATCCATTCAAGGCTTGTATCCTGACAACTTCATCTCCCGTGACCAATGCACTCAATGTTACAACATCATAGGCGTCAAACCCTGCCAAAATATTGCGGAAGTAATCATAGAGTTGTCGCCTCCGTTCGGAATCCATGGCTTTCAGTATTTCAGGAACTGACTGAAACTTGCCCTGGGTCATGTAAGCTCCAGCCATACCCCCTACAGCGCCACCTAGGAGAAAGGAAAGTTAGTGTTACACATGCCATACCAGGACGTCTGTTGCGACTGAAGTCCTCATGTGCCATGCTTGAAGGGACAAATGAAGTTCCGGTAAACATCTAAAAATGCATCCTTCAAGACAAAGAGAGGTAATTTACAAACAAACTTTGGCTCTCCACATTAATCAATGTTTACACGGTGTGTCAAAGGTTAATAACAAACAGTATAGTACCGATGCAATACCAGCCGAGATTGAAGTATTAAATCAGAACAGCCATTTTATGAGCCAAAACCAGCATTTTTTCTACAAATAGCATCCTCTTTTTTCCTGAAAGTATCCCCTTTTTTTGTTTTCATTTTTAGATTTTTATGGAAATTGGCATGTTGGATTTTCTGCAGTCTGAAAACAAAAACACCGGAAAACAGTTCTGATTAGATCGAAACAGTCAGCAGTTATGGTATGGATTAAGGTCAAATGTGTCACAGAAGGATGGAAGTTTTCATTGGTCAAATTTATACGTGTACATCAACTTGCCACCCCAACTGAACTACCGGTTCATGTACATGTGATGGTAATTTGTAAACCATTCTCCCAAACAAGGATTCCTATTAGCAATGTACGCTTTTAGTTTATCCATGTCTAGTCTTCAATCACAAACAAGACTGCACACATGCCATTGCAGATAAATGTAATAGGCTTTCACGCGATACATACATGTATTCATTTCAACAGTGCTTGACATAACCCCAAATATCTCAGGTATTTTCCGGTCTGGGTTACATGTAGGTCACATTTGAATATGTGCTAGATATACATGTAGATCACAATGATTTGATTTGATTTGATTTGAATGTCTGAAAGCAGGAAATATGTGATAGAAATGTTATTCATTAATGATGCCGTCCAGCTACCAGTACTAAATACTTCAAACACAAAGAAAAAATGTTTGAAAGTAACTCACAAATTATAAACAAAATGGCTGTGGATTATGAAAAAACAAAAAAAATGTTAACTTTGACGTACCGTAAAGCAAAGCAGAAATAAAACAGACAGATTACATATACTTGTACCGGTACTTGTACCATATAAGAAATAAATGATAAATATCACAAACACAGTTCAACTACCGGTACTCTAGCGGTACTTCACAGAGGCACTGCTTAACTGCCGACAAATGTAATGCAATAAACTGCTTTTGTGGAGGATCAAAAATATTTCAGAATATGCCCTGAGATAAACGCCATCAGCCAACCAAACCCACTATGTTCATACCAGTAGTTACTCAATGCCAGATCAGTTTTGTTCTTATTACATGTAGAGTCTCGTGAGACTTTGCAGGTTGGGACCAACTGATGCTGAATTATGTCCATTCTGTAGACTCTTTCCTCTCCTCTCTGAATGGCCAATGTTCTCAGTTTTCTACACTTTCACCCGCGTTGATGTGTTTACTGAATTCATACCAAAGGACTTGTAAACACGGTAAACATGAAACACAGTGTGAATGTCTCAAGCCGTCTCCATGGAAACTCCTGGGTGGCTCCCACCCACAGATACAATGTGATAC